ATATACGACTTGTGGCAAGGTCAACGCATAAAAAATAGTCCAAAAGTGACTTTGATGAACTCTTTTATTTTACGTAGACGACTATTCTCACCTTCTACGGTAAACTGTGATTTACAAGTTGTCTTTCTGCCACGCACGAATTTCGTTCTTTTTCTCTTTTTGACGTAGACCTGTGAAAAGAGGAAACTTTCCTCGACGCTCGAATCAACTTTGCATAGACATCGAGTTCAAGTCGCAAAAAATATAGGAAGAGATAAGAGCGATAGAAGCAGATCATCTTCGTGTACGAAAAAAGAAAAATAAGCGAGCGCACAAGCGTCGATCATTTGCGCGAATTAACATGCAGCTCGGTGCACATGAAATTCGGTTACTTGTTTGTCTGCGTAATTGACGTCTCAATGTTTCGCTAGTTACGTTCGGATAACCGAAGGCTTATCTCGCTAAAACCGCCTTGGCATAGCAAGTGTCTTTCAGACGCGGCTGATGCATCGTTGAAAATATTCATCCCGAAGGAAAAGATAAAACTAGGGTCAGAGCACGCGGAGTGACGAGACTCGAGGAAAAAAAATGTTAGCGCGCTCCTCATCATCTGCGTCGATTTTTTTGCGCGCCCGGCAATAAACGAGTGACCGTCTGAGCTTTTTTGGATTTCTTCAAAGACAAAAGGTTAAAGCTTAAATTTAGATGCTCGCCCAATGAGTCCTCAAATAAATTCGTAATCTCCTTGGAATAATAAATCTTTTAAATATTTGTTCGTGCGCTTGCAAGTATATGGAAGCCGACGCGTTTAATCGCATGCAAAGTTTTTCAGACAATATGTTAATGTATTTCTGAAAATAAGGTTTCTTCAAGACCAACGAATTTTGCGAGGTAAAAGAAACGCGTCAACTCTTTTTAAAAATACTCATTAGCTTTGTCATATCACGATAATTGGTTTGTAAATAAATCATCCGATAATACAGTATCATCAGGGGCTGCTCGTTAAAATACACGTGTATAGAAATATATGGCAGTGTAGGTGTAAATGTTCGATTCACCTTCATGCAAAGAGAGTTTCGCAGGGTTTCCAGACCCTGACCGAGAAGAACTGCGGATTTGCTCTAATATCGACTGATCTCAACCTCGAAACCAGTCGCAAGGTTTCTAGTTCATTTTTTCTTTAAATTAAAATAATTTATAGCGTGCGATCGATATTGTGTGAAACTACATGAAACTGAATAAAATCATTGACGCGACATTAGAACCTTGAAAAAGCATTTTTAATGAAATCTTTCCATAATCAATTCGCACGGTGAAAAAATTAAATTAAAAATTGAATATATCGCATTAATAGTCATTCGGCTTTTTTCTTTTAATCAAGAACATCGAATCAATCGGGACGATAATTAATTGAGTTCTGTCATTCAAAATGACCATGAATGATACCAAAACAGTCAGTAGTTCCAATACTTTATTCCATTGTCTCGGCACAATCCTCCTCTCTGCCTCGACATCTGTCCAAGTATTTTCACAATTTTTTTCGATTTTGCCACACATGTGCAGAAGTGAAAATAAGCAAAGTCCACAGTTACCTAGACAGAGAGCGACCCTGGACATACATTATGTAAGCTTGCGCGACAAGGTTAGATCTCGCGAATTCGGCTTTTTTTTTCAGCTGTAACTTCGCACAAACACACAATAAGCTGTCTCGCGAAGAAGAAGCTTGGAGGTCAGTATTTCGCATACACATATAAATTTTTGCTTCTACATACATATGCTTTTTGTTGTTATCTGGAAATAAGTGTGCGCTCATCCGCGTGTAGTTGCGCTCGGCGCGTGGCGGAAGTGGTTTGATTATGTCACAGACAGTGCTTATGTTTATGTGTATGTGTTAACGCATCATTGCGTCGCGCTGTTTCGCGGTCATTTTCTTTTTTCTCATTCTTTTCGCGATTTAGCTTGTGATGTCGATAATAGACTTATGGGAAGTTCTCTAATTACTTGCCATTATGCAGTTGTAATTAATTTTGTTCTGGATATAATGAAATTGTTTCGTAAGGATGGACCTTTGCAACTTTCAAAATAATATCGATTTTTGTTTCCATAAGTTGAATAGCCGTGTACAATTCGATTGTTGGGTTCATTGTAATGTTTATAAAGATTGTCGATAAGCAAACTAGTTAAGGATGCGTCGCAACGCAAAAATCAAAGCAGCACAAAATTTATCGACATGCATCGTATGAAACAAAGCGATCTTCGATGCACACGCTCGCGAGCGTGGTACAAAGAGAGAGAGAGAGAGAGAGAGAGAGAGAGAGAGAGAAATCATTATTGCGCAAGCCTCGTTAACGTATTATTCGCTAAACATACAATACGCCACTGCGTCGTTGTCGAAACATCAGATCGTTGAATATGCCACCCGGAACTATATATAAGGGCCTCGGGAGCTTGCGAGAGAGAGGGAGACAGGCAGGCTCGATATATCGGAAAAGCGCGGCGGCAGACACACAACCACCGTGGTGGCCGCGAACTCGAGTGCGCGACCTTGTCCTTGCCCCTGAAACGGCCGCCGTAACGCGACTGCTACTCGCCTTGGCCACGGATCGATTCTCGTGCTTGCACGCGGTCGCGACCCCGTCCTTTTGCCCGCGAGAAAAACAAGAGAGAGATCGAGCTCGCTAATTATTTACGATACGTATACACGCGCGCCACACGCACCTGACATGGACTCGCGTCTATTAGAAGTTTGCTCGATTCAACGTTTTTTTTCGTGTAAGTGGTGTTGTGCGCGATGTAGCGGAGAAAACGAAGCCCCGCAAAAACCGAAGGGAAAAACATTTTCAAATAATCCAAAGTTTTGACGAGTTGTTTGTAAACATTGAGCTTTAGCGTTGGCGGACGCGAAGCTTACAAGCTTTGCTTACAATTATAAGATTTTCAACGCGCTGAAGAATTATACACGCCTGACGAACCATAAATCTTGAGTGCAGACACGTGCTGAATATATATTCAAATAAGTTTTTTCTTTGCTGTGTCTAAAATTTATGAGAATCCATATGTCATAAAGAATGTGGGCGCGATGCATACGAAGGTCTCGTAAATAACATGAGAAACCGTTTGGTGATCGCGAAGCAGACAAAAGAAGATATTTTCGTTTTTCTTTTACCTTACACGCGCAGGTACACGCAATGGATATTACAGTGTTCGTAACGTCGTTTATGCCTATCTCAATAAAAAGGCTATATATTAATGAAAGCTTGCGTACGACCTTAGCAGAGCCACAATACGTAACGACAATGTGGCCGCGAAGTGCGCGCGCGATTGAAGCCTGCGAGAGCTTGCGCGCGTTTTGCCGCCGTGGAAAACTCCTTCCGCGCTGTCATTGCGCGGCGTCGTCTTCTCGTTTTGTTGCCGCTCGTAATATTGCCGCGCGATATATGCGCAATTGGTCACGCTCACCTTTGACATTGAGGACGTCCAGACGGCCGAGCGCGCTCACAGGCCCGCGCGTCCACGGAATTAAATGCCGGCGAAATGTTGCGTAATGCCAAAAGCATCTTTTTCGCAAACACGTGCCCGTCGCGCGGACGATGCGCAGAAAGGCACGCGCGCGCGCGCGCGTCCGCGAAGTGTCCTGTGATCGCCGTCTAGCGTGCGGCGCGCCGGCGAACACAGCAAATGCATACGTGCTGGACTTAGCTGCTGGCGCGAATGTTTACCGGTTGTGCGTGTTCAACATTTTTTATGGCCCAATTCCACACGTATATAGATCCTTCGAGCGCGTTGGTTTTTATTTTTCAGAGAATGCCTAAATTATGAAAATAAATTCGCTCTGTTGAATTGTTTTTTTTAATATCGAATATATCGACGTTGATGATCAAACTTTAATAAATTTAGCATTGTTTTTTGGAATCTCGCAAATCATAATTTAAACAATCAATGAACAAAGTATGAATATTGTCATCTAGCAGAACAATCAAGTAAAATATTTAGCCCGACTATAGCGAATATCAAACGACTGGCCAACACAATCATTGCAGCTGTAAGTTAGCACAAGCACATGGAGAATAGTATCGAGAGAGCGTAGTTTGAAATGTTGATTCACGTAAAGCTGCGAATGTCAAGTACAGCCATTAGATTCGCAAGCACGTACCAGCGAAACATTATAAAAGAGAGACTGCAAGCTCAGCGGGAAGCCGGTCGAAAATTTCGGAGAAATTACAGATTGTGTATAGCGATATGCTTTTTTCTCACGCGCTGCATATTCGCGACGGACAACGTAATTCTCTTGCGTCATCTTTTTTATATATCAAGTGACTTGGCGGAAATTGAAGTCCTACTATTCGTTAAAAAGTGATTTTTTGTATTTATAAACGTATCCTATTCACGCTTTGCTTTCGATAACAGATGAATGTTTATTGTCATAAAGTAAATATGCGTATCGAGCGTTAAAACGCAGCGAACACATGCAAAAGCAATCGGCACAATAATATATTGATTAAGCAATAAACCTTGACAATCTTTGAAAAAGATCTTGTCCGTAGCTGAGAGGTAAATTACACGCACAGCGTGTGTTTGTCGTCGCGACCTTGCATTATTTTCTGGTATATCGATAATGAAAAAGTAGTGATAATCTAATGAAGTAATGTCGCGCGCGCGCACGCACACACACACACACACACGAACATAGACAGAGCAAATGGTGGAGGAGTAGGAGGAAGAGGGGAACCGCGACTCGCGTCGTTCGTCCAGCCGCCGTCCATGACCACGCGGCCTTGTCCTTGTGTCTCTCTTGCGCCAGCGCAAGTGAACCTTCTATATTCCTCGCGCGCGCAATCATCGGCTCGGGAGATGTGTGTGTGTGTGTGTGTGTGTGTGTGTGTGTGTGTGTGTGTGTGTGTGTATCGTCGCGTGTGCGAACTCAATGAAGCTGCTTTTTTCGTTGCTTTATCGGAAGCAACGCTGTGCTGTTGTATATAATTGCGTTCAATAAGAAACGAACAGCTTTTATTCCGCTTGCACGCTTTACCTTCCACCATATAAATTTTTTGACCGATTCAGATAGCCTCCTTGTCTTTGCCAAATTTCTCACGTTAAGACTGCTCGTGGATTGATTAGCAATTTGTTGTCATTGCTTTTGGAAGGTAACTATTAAAATAAACATTAGATAGAGTTGTCGCGGTTATGGAAAAAGCTAGAACACAGAAGCGAAGCCTTTCATTCGCGGAAAGTTTTCGGTGAATGATAATTTTTTTTCTTTTGAACGATCGTCACGGAACATTATAGGTACCTAGTCATTGCGTGGAGCAATTGCATAAGACAGTTAAAGTGCCACTTGCACGCCAAGTTTCCAGAGGGTACATCCTATAATCCGTATATTGTGCAATCTCTCACGTAAACACGTGCGGCGGTTGATCAGCGCTGACGAGTGCAAGCGCGAGCTGCCCAAGCTGCGATCGATGTCGGCAGACGAAACCGTCAACTGTCAATAGGACGGTGAATCAACGGAGCGGTGCGCAGTGTAAGTCGAATCAGAAGCGACAGCACATTGCCGTTGCGTGGTTGACGCATCGAGGTAAGCGATATACGTATACGCGGTGGAAGAAGAAGGCACCTCGTGCTCGGTCGCTCACGTTTTTCGCGCCTCGCAAAAGGACGTTGCGCGCGCGGCAGCGCGCATCATCATCATCATCATCGACGCGAGTCGTACAATGCGTGTACAGCTATCGCGCCGAGGCGAAGCGAGCTTATCTCGTCTCGCACGGCACTTTACGCGCTGTGAACGACTGATCGTCACGTAACCGGGAGAAGCTAATTTCGCTGTATATTTTTCTTTTTTTTTTGTTGCTTCGCGACCTTGGTGGCTCATTAGACTTCTCGTCGCGATGACGTCGACGTGGAAAAAACTTCTCTATATCGAAATAATATAATTTCGACTCGACATTGAGTAATAAGATTTGTGCTCCGTCACTCGAGCAAATTGAGCAACTTGTCCACGGGAAATTGTTGTCGTTTTCCCCTTTTTCTTTTGTTTTTTGTAGTTTTCTCGACTTTTCCAAACGTTCGCGTTATAAATATCAAGGTCGGACTCATCTGGCAAACGTAATCACCTATATACGCACGCGCACGTCCGCGATTGAAATCGTATGTAACCCCTTTCGATGTATCAGCACGAGAGACGAGTCTGATCTACATGTCAAACGCTATCTACGTAGGATGTATGGCCTCGTCCTTGCATATACATACAGTTTTAGCGCAATAGCTTCTGGAAAGAAAAAATAGCGACGAGTATCGATAGCAATCGTTGCTGACCTTCGACATACTCGGATGTTATATGTATAATTGTGAAATGCACGGATTATGCTCTTAGAGCTTCGGCGAAGTTACAATGATTTTCCAAGCTTTCGCCAGAAACTTTTGGCAAAGCTTTAGCCAAGGAGCGTCCACGTATAAGCCACGCGTTGCGAGAGAGTCCTAGTAAAGTACGCAGCTGGTGTGACTGGATCATTCGTCGTAATTTAAATGAGTCTAGACCTGTAATTTCTATCGTGAGACTATATTTCTAGAATATTTTGTGATTTACGTAATACTCTTGATAGTCGTCCATATTTAATACGTGAAGTCGGTCTCAAAACAGATGTAAATCAGACTTATACAAATTGTAATTCATTAAGTCAATAAATTTGGATAGAATTTGACTGTTCTCTTCTTTTAGGAGCAAATCTGAAATGGAGCCTCCATACATATCCGAAATCATACATATGAAAGACGTCACTGCAAAATACAGAATGCACTAGGATAAGAAGAATGAAATCATGTGAAATGATCGAGCAGCTATAGCTAATTAGAGCACGATACAAGAACTGCATCGGCCGTGACTTTAAATTCGGTGATCTTGCTGCCAGCCTGCCTCTCGGCTCAGCTATAGGAAATGGAAACGTCGAATCTATTTTTCCCGCACATCGCCGAAAGACTCATGCCGGCGTGAGCTTCCACGGAGGATCTCT